TGGTAGAATCTGAATTTTACTGACCAGTGACCGTTATCGTAGAACCATTTAAAGGATCCTAACATATACGAATGGATATGGTGAAAAAAATCTCCTAGTAGTCTCATCGAACTTTTACGACTCATACATTGTTATTATCATCAAAAAAAAAAAAATAAATAAATAAATATAAGTCATAACTTTTGGCAGGACATTGGGAACGTTTATGGCCGACGATAAAAACCGTTACTAACTGGACCATGCCTAGAACTGGGTAAGAAATATGTGGATTTTTGCTGTATTGACAAATCCGAAATCGTAAATTTGTTCGGTAACGCCTAGACAAATTATCGATGGTAACGCGTATCGGACGAATAAAACGCGTTTTTCGATGAAAAGTTGTTTAATTTTTATATTTTCAGTTCAATGTTTAGCTAAATTTAAATCTTAACTGCAGCAGAGKGTCATTAATCAATATAATATTTAATTCTTCTATCATTTTACAATATACAATACAGCTGAAATTGGGTATTTAAAACTTCTTTACTCTTTAGACTATAACCATCACTATCGAAAATATGTAATAAAATGTCATTAAAAACAATATCACTTATAAATATAAGACTGCTATTAGGGACTAGAGAAATTATAGTTATAACTTTGTAAGTATGAACGATCTTAAATGTGAACCTTCATAAATAAAAGGGATTCAAAACATAATAACCCATTTCTGGAAAACGTTTATAGCTAGGTATAAAATAGCTTACGGCTTAATTTAAAAATGTTATTAAAACGTTATTATGTACTTAATTTGTTCCAATAAAAATAAATAAATTTGAAACTATAAGAAAGTATCCTATAATCAGTTCAATAATCTTTAATAGAAAACCGATTTTATTAATATCCAAGCCCTTAATTTAACACAGTTTCAATTTAAACTTSTATTACTCCCATTAGGACAATAATAATATAAAGGTAATTTTTTTTATTATTTTTCAGTTTTTATTTTTTTGGTGATTTTTATGCATCCCCGGACGGCGTTACCGGCGTAAAGTAAAATCGCAATTGTAAACATAACGGCGATGTGTGACCGGAATACATTTGCTGTGTTTTGATCCTTTTTGGAAAAACAAATACAATAACAACTTGGATGTTTGTTTATAATTTGCAGATCTATAAGTCAGCTTGTTGACTTTGGCTTGTATTCTATTTTTCTCAGCCGTGATTGAAAGTATAAGCGGATTACCAATCTGTGGTACTTGAACGTGAACAAATTATATGTTACTTTTTATTCATACATTTTCTATTTCATATATGTGTAGGTATAGATATGTTTTGCCAAGTTTTTAAAATATTTTATCCGAAATTAGCCAATTCTATGTACGTAATGTACCTATACTTATCAATCGTAATTCCTAATAAGACATAATAGAGATATTTATAGCAGTAGTACTCGTTCCTGAACACATGATCTCTATGTAGTATTTTTCATCTATTATTTTTTGTTTTAAGTTTTCGTAATAACAACTATTTACTGCAAACGAATATGAATGATTTTTAACACTAAACTAAAAAGAAAAACGACTAAGTTATACGGTAATTTTTTTGAACTATAAATTGAATATAAACTCTATCATTCTGTATTTGAAATACAAACTTACCCAATCCAATCGTAGTTCAATCTTACACTGAAAAACATGCTGCGGGCTCTGTCTTTGAAATAGTTTACCTCTAAAATAGGTCATAATAAATTCTCGTAAAATAACTAACCCGAAACCTACTCAGAATTCTGAAATGAAAAACTAAATGAAATAAAACAAGGATATTCGGCGAATTTAAACGAAACAATAGCAGTCCACTATCGTCTCAACGTTTTCAATAGTGAGCCACAAAAGCCACAATCGTGATTAGAACCCTTAACGGCCCGAAAAACAACCCGTTGGACAGGCATAAGAGATGCTTAGGATTGAAAAGTAACAAGTACACAATTGTCAAGCAATTTACCAAAAGTACTTAGTTTACAGACCGATTCTAGTAAATCAGTTTCAGCACAGTCGGGTGCTGAAACGACTACTGCAGTTTATTTATTTGTTTATTTGTTTTTTTTCTTCATTCTACAGAAAGTTTTATTGCTAGAAATAAAAATAATGAAACTTCAAGTCACGTAGCATTTTTTTTCTAATTATGTTCTTTCTGTAAATTTGCCAAACATATAAAATAATAAAATTGTAGTCATTTTATGCCTCAAACATGAATTCCCCATGCTCGACATAAAACTACAAACGCCTCCCTCAAACCTTTATAACTAGAAGAAACGGAAAAAATCTAAAACTAGGTTTCTTTTGATATTATCTGATCGCAACCTTATCACATCGCCAACGAGGTAATAAATTCTTAATGTTTTTCCGACCACCGAATAAAAATTATTTAAGATTTCTTTTACACACAAAAAGTATATCATTAAAATTGCCAAGAAAGTTATGATAMTTTAACGACATTTTTATGACCATTCCTTATTAAAGTGAAAAAATGAACGTTTATACTTTATACTATCGACAATTAATAATATTTTATTTATTATTTATTATATATTGATATGTATGTGCTATACTTCAGTGATATGATGTTATGTCGTATAGAATGTTATTTAATTGTACTAGAAAAAGTTATAAACCAAAATAATACAACTGTACTATCCCATATTACAATTTCTTATTAATATTTGCTATTTGATGTGTATTTTGAATAAGTATAACTCATTATTAAATTATTGAGTTATTATTTTCTTATCATATGCCTTCGTTATAATTTCAAAGTTTATTAATAAGGGAAATTCAAGAGCGCCATAAGCAAACTGCTTTGAAGTATTCAAGAACGTAATTGGATACGTCATTTAAGGCTGAAAACTTTAAATGCGTTTAGTAAATCCGTGAACCCAAGTCCAATACATAATACTTATAGCACAGTTGTTAATGACACTCTAAAATATTATTTATAAACGTTCTTCTCGACATGAATATGTAAATCATTTATTTATTTAGTTCATATTTTATATTTGTTTATTATTTACAAACTTAGATCGATAATTTTGGCACCTATCTATACATTTCAATAGTTTTGTTTTCCTCTTGACTATGGTATAGTATTTATGTCATAGTTGAGTAGGTTATGAGTAAATTATTTAAACTATAAATAATTTAATTGCTTACAATTTTTTTTTTGCGGATTTTCTGAATATTTACAAATTTCAGAAATGCTTGCCATTACAGTAAAAGTGGAGTTTGGGTGTCATCTCTCTTTCGGTTTTTATTTTGGTTGGGTATTTAGAAATTTGAAACAAAATTAAAATACAAAAATTTGAGTGTTATTTATATTTTATAAAATGTTATAAATTGTTTGTTATTTGAATATCTATTCAGTTATCCATCCCTTAGCTCACCACCACAAAAATTAGTCCTAATCTTAGATCCTGACATGTCTCCTTTCCATAATCTAGCTCTAATTACTGCATTGCACCGACCAAATAAACACAACATAATACATTTAAAGTCTATACTTATTTTCAGAAAAATTACTAGGTTACTTAAAGTGTTATCTATAGTTGTGCATCATATAACTATAAAATGGAACTTTCAAGTTCCAATGCTATATAGTACTTTTTCTGCTAGACGCCGTATTATAATATTATTTAAAATGTATTAGAGATAAAATACTTTATAAAATGTACATATTAATATGATTATAAATCAACATCAAAATATTACTGTTGTAATATATCATACATTCCCTTCTTTTTTTATTTTTTTTTTTTTGTTAAATGAAAACTATAACTATTTGTGTATGTTCATATTATCTTTACCACAATACACAATTTACGGTGCATTTTGAATAAACCATTTTATGAATGATATGATTTCAGGAAATAATGTATACGATCAAACTATAACTGTCAAGCATAAACTACTGAATAAAGTTTTGATAAGATGAAAGGTTTTTAAATATTTTTTGGACTCGTGGTTAAAATTTAAAACATCGAATAAAATAACAAAAGTTGTGTTTCACTTGTATAAAAGTTCTTTCACACCTCCAGAATAATAAAACTAATTTACACAGATAGTACTGAACGTGTCTGTTTCAGTGCTACCTATAGAGAAAGACAAATATCATACAATCATATACCTAGTATATATGCCGCGATTTTAACCTAACTTCACCAGTTAATAATAAAAATAAATAATGGTTCATTATATCACAATTTATTTTTGTAAATGTATATACAAATTATTGTTTCCATCCACAATGGAATTATTGTAAATATATTAAAAAATTACTTATACCCAATGTCTTAATACAACTTTGAATCGAATACCTAATCAAYTATAATTATTTTATAATTCCTTTTCTAATATGAACATTTATAAATGATGCACTACCATTTATACATCAATAAGTAATGCCAGTTATTTGAAATAACTATTATTTCTAATAATAAGTGTATGCAATACAAAAATTATTTAATATTTTGAAATTTTTAATGAACATTTTCCTTTATTTATTAAAGTTATTCAAGTTATAGCAAGTAACAATAATTTAATTTGATCATTGTTTCGCATAATACTGTACAAAATTAGTGTACTTTTAAACAACCATATTTTAAAATTAAAACTACTTAGAAAGTATTACGCTGCCTTTAAGTCTTCGGGTCGCGAGAATAATTTGTTTAAGTTTGAATCACGATTATTAAGTGTAGTAGTCGAATTCAGTTAAAACCTTAATTAAATCTCTGTGCGTACCAAATTCGTATGCTAATTTTATGAGCCATCATACACCGCACATTATACTGTGAAATATCAAATCAATAATAATAACGTTTCGATGTAATGTGTTGAATACATTTTGTTATCACTACGGCATATTATTATTATTTTATGATCGAGCGTATTTCGTCAACTACAGCTATCGTCGTAATACAACAATAATAATAACAGTAATGACATAATTATAATAAATAATAACGATACCTGATATTCCATCGTATGTCCACCACTCGTCCCAACTGGCTTGCACGCCTGTAACAATATAATAATACACGAAATCAATAAATTACTGATCAAGTGTTATACCGTGGTACGCATGCGGTRCATATAATAATAATGTAACATGTATAATATTTATATCGGTTTAACAATAATTATTAGATGCCTTATTTGTAAATGTGTGTTCATAATAATAATACATGTATTTAGATTATATTTAACGGTTAAATGCATATAACACATCATACACGACGAGGCGGCCGCGATGTCAACCCCTAATTATCGTATATTGTTTTAGTTGGATAATATACATGTGTATATTATGTACCAGTATAGACATAACTKACGGATAAATCGACTTGTCTCATTGTTGTGTTTACAAATATATTAACTTAATTGTATAATATTGCGGGGACTATGAATTTGTTAAAAAGTATATAACTTGTGACCTCAGGCTACAACTGTGAAACATATTAATATTTAACTTCCTATACACAAAGTTTGAATTAGGAGATTGTAATGAATTCAATCTTGGAATTTTTACTTTGCAATTTTTGATATTTTCAATAATAATTATTACTTCTTCAATGGCTTCAATTAATTGATTTTATAACCAATAATTTTTAATTGTCATCTTATAAATAGTTGAATACTTAAATGTTTTGAATGAAATTCTTATTTAGTTAATAATATCTTTAGTTTAAAATATTTTACACTTGATTGATTTTAAACAATAGTTCCTTAGTATAACTATAGACGTATACCTATAATGCATTTTGTACTGGATTTTTTCGGTTTGAAATTTGAATGTATTTGTAAGGTTTATCGGTTTATTTTTCGGGGTTAATAATACATTTTTAAGATTTTTTATTAGAATATAAAATTAACAGTCCCAATTATGATGCTATAATAATATATTTTATACAAACTGTAAAGGTTTTTTTTTCTATGTTCGCTCATTCACTCTCTCTCTCAATCCACCCGTCGCATACAGTCTTAATAATAATAATAATAATAATAATAACATCAATACTTATACTAATGGGTTTACCTACAGACGGTGTTGTGATATTTTCTTCCTTTTATATAGGTTTCTGTTCTTTTTGCTATTTTGACACATAATAATCGTTTGCGTAGATAATAATAACAGTAATAGTAATAATAGTATATTACCGACATTCTCTTGACGATACTATTATAATAGTGTCGGTTGCGGCAGCGGGACAATAATTTCCGCTTACGCTCCGAAAAATCCTTTTAAGTATGGCATGAGAAAATACACCACTCGTCTCCGATTGACTTCCACCGTTATATCATGTACATTCACCGCGGCGGGCAAAAGGACGAGCGGATATGATATTCGTTCGGCGGCGCCATCGAGTCGGTTTGTGTTGCCAACACCGATTAATCTGCTCCGCGCGGCCACCCCTCTCGTTTCGTATATTATACACCGTCCCTGGTTTTATTATTGTTGCCGCTTTTCTGAACACACACACACACACACACACATACATACGCATACGTAGTTTTCACCGAGAGATATATTTTAGTTTTTATTTTTTTCCCACCCGCCTGCTCACTATCGTCTCCTCTACCCATTTATACTCTCACTCGAATCCCCGGCGCCCTCTGAGGCGCAACCCCTATATAGACGAACATAACTGGGCCGCCGTTAGCGTTTTCCTCGCGGGCGCCCGAAAGACTAGACGAAGTCCTGCCGAGTGGCGTCGTTGTCGGCCGCTGCAGTGAGTCGTCTTCTCGACAGTGTATATCTTTATAAAAGAAAATTTTTACGGTTCGACCGTTATATTCTCGACCCACCCCCATCCACCGACCGGCCAACTGACAAACGGTCGACACATTATTATCATTCGGTTCGAATCGATACGCAAAACCATAATATCATCATATATGCGCGCGTTGTATTCGCTTGGTGTGTGGTCCATCATGTCAAGAGTGGCGAACGTTTCTAGAACCCTGCACGTCACCTACACGTCCACCCCCCCCCTTCAAACAGTCGAGAATACGACCCCTCTGTCGCCTGCTCTCGTCAATCACCCATTTAAAGGCGTAAAACAATGATGTGTATACCTATACAAGCTAAGCACTCGTAAACGATTGCCATTTCGCGTGGCGTGATTTGTATGTCGCATAATACAACGGTTTTTTTTTTCATTACTGTTTATCGTTTGTCATTACGAAAATAAATGTAGGAGATTCTTTTACAATCATTTTCTCTAGAAGTTTTACGTTTATGGAATTTTTTTTAGATAGTCCTAAAACATAACGAAACAACATTTTCTGAATAAAAAAAAGTCAAACAACTGGGAATTCGATCAGGTGCGATCTAGTGATATTGATTACATCATATTATTATTCATTATTACAATTTATGATATTTAAAACTTGACGATTCTCAATAATTCTATGAAACCAAAGTTTACAAAACAAATAAAATGCATAAATAATATTATATGCGTTGCATCAATATGAAACGCTTAAAAAAAAATACTGTAATATGAAAAAAACAATCCATTTGTCAACAGGACGTGGTTGAAACAAATTGGTAAAAATAAAATAAAATACATTAAGGACGATTTTATGCGAAACTGGAATCATTCATATTATATGGAAAAACAATCAAACCGAATTCATGAGAGAAACAGCCTAAATAAAACCTCGTATAGGTACAATATAACAATTACAATATAGTATTACATACTTTACGTATCTATATACGACAGTGTTGACAAGTATATTGTACACAACCTGTTAAGGTACAACATTATAATATTATGCACTCAATTTGCATTTTTTCACGAGTTTGAATACAAAACAAATTAAAAATAAGGCTATATTATTATAATATACTCGCGATACTTCGTGTCGACAGAGTCTGAGCTTTTGTGCCTTCCTCGTTAATAACCAGCATAGCGTGTGATTATGTGGCTACAAAAAACTTAACGCTCACATTGAAGTAATTTCCTTCAGTAATAGTGACGTAATACAAAAGTTGAATGTTAATATAAATTATTATTAAAACAACGATGGTTATTTAAATACGTTATCTTTTATCATTTTAAACACGGGAAATTTTATCAGACGAACGAGACTACACGCCACGTGGATCCAATCAAATCGTGGGTGGATGACATTTTTAAAATCGGTACTTTTTATTACTTACGTTACTGCAACAGCAGAGGTACGAAGTGAGGAGCTTTCTGAAGGATGCAGTTTATAGAAAGAGTATAGTTTTATTGTAATTGCAGGTATAAGTATAACATTATAATATAGTAACTGCGTAAGGTACCTGCTTAAACTTGCATACATTTTAATTTTTTAATTTTTAGAACCTCCACAGCTCTACCCATATTTTTACCTATTTGGGTGTGAGGTAGAATTTAAATTTTAACACCTATTTAATATACCACTACTTGTTTCACACCTCCCACTGTCGCTTTTGGTCGCATAAAAAAAACTTTGCACCATAAAACCCGTCTGCAGTGCAATAATCGCGGTTTAGACACGTATTCGCGGTCGCACTCGTGTGAGTTCACACGGTCTATAATACGATATTATTGTGTACTCGTTTTTCATTGAATAGCTACTAAACGCGTGACGTCATATCATAAAACATTCGATTCGAATTAAAGTATTACAAAACGATTATTGACTACTACGAAGTACGTTTTTTTTTTCACACAATCACGCTAATACCTACACGTGTCTCTGTATCCATATAACCGTGTGTCTCTAATCACGATATAATGATAATAATAAAAATAATAACATTATTATTATTCAGTCCCTAAAATTGAGTGTAGTACGACACACTTTGTGTAGTTCRAAAAAATTAGTGTGTAGTACGACACATTTTATGTAGGTAGTTAAAAAAGTTCAGTGTGTAGTACGAAATTTAAAAGTGTGTTATTCACATTAAACCTTTATAAATTCATTAAACCTCTATAAAATTTTAAAACAACAATATTAACACAGGATATCAGTAAGTTCTTCGACCAMAAAGAATTTAAAAAAAAAACAATAATTTACATACTTAATATAGATAATTTAAATTTACTTTTATTCATTTACTGATATTATGTATTATTATTTTCATGCATTTTGTACACTTAAAACGAGTTTTATAAAAAAAAAAAATGTTTTCAACAAAAATTATATTTCACACATTTTTTTATAGAACCTTTAAATTTGTTAAATAGAGGTTCTGTTTTATTTAAATAAAATTATTTATTGTAAATACATATTATTATTAATTGATAGGTACTATGTATAATATTTAGATTGGACTGATTTGAGACTATGTGTGTAGTACGAAAATTTGGACATTTTAGGGACTGTGATTATTGTTATCGCTATAATACGTGTCAGACGAATATGTATTTGGGCTTAACTTCATTGAAGCCAATGCATTGGTAACGAAAGTTTTGATGCTCTAGATTTGTCGGTGTCAAATTAAAAATKCAGTTAAACGCATACATTTTTCCGTTATCATATGAAATTATATAATTTTATTGAAAATAAATAAGAAGTGTCAAATTTCCAGTGAACAATATTCCACTATACGACTGATAATCAAATTATAATTTTAAAAAACAAAATCTCCAATCGATCATGGTCCTTATTGACTTATTTTATTCCAATATTGATCTACGGAATACCAATGGTCAATGATTGATGGTTTGATTGCAAACATGATTTCACTTTTAAATTTTGTCTTAAAATAATGTAGATATATTATTCAAAATTTAGATTATTGAAATGTTTAACTAAATGGGAATACGCCTTCCTGACTTTTATAGTACCTTCCCCCTCCCCCGCAAAAAAAATCCTGAAGAGTTAACAGCATATAACAATAACATATTAAAAATGTCAGTTTTAGCCCTCCTAAATCTTAAATGCTATTTGTGATTATGAGGATATTCCTTAAATCTGAGTATTCAAGATCTATTTAAAAATATTGTTCCTAATAATACCTACTTAAAAATGTATATAACCGTCAACCAGATTTTATA